ACTCGGCTTAACGCATTGAAACGCAATTGAAACGCCATTGAATTTACTTCGGCCTATCGAATGAAGATAAAAATTGATTCGTTTGGAGCGTTTCTTTTGTTTTTGGGAATAATGGGTGCAAACCTTCATACCACGCGTTCGCATTGACTTCGTTCGGTAGCTAATTAACTAAAGTATCGTACCAAACGCATAATTGACTTGTTAACTCTGAAATCATGGATTAATTTGAAGTTTTCTGCTCGATAGGCCCAAAATGGGCGATAAGCCGAAGTAGTTCTCTACCCTAATTGCTATTTGATATTTTTGCAAACAGTGACAGATAGCGGACATGAAGAACCAGTGGAGGTGCTGAACAAAGGTGTTATATCCTAGACAAATGGTAAGTTATAAATTCGCAGTTGTCGTTGTCGTAGGCACCGTCGTAGTCGCCGAAGGCAGTACCGTTAGTATATTTAAAATTAACCATCAACCGCTGAAAATGTGAACTATCGCGTATTTCTGTTGTTCATTACATGCCTAGTGAAATTCGAGAACGTAATTTCATTTGAATAACTTGTTTAACTAGGTCTTAAACAATCGTCACGTCGATCATAGCTTGTTATGATTGCCTGAACCATGCGTAAAGAGCAAATCTAAACATTGAACGTCGCGTGAAAGTGGAACTTAAGGGGGTAGTCCACTCTGGAATTTTTTTGGTTTGGCTTAAAAATACTTTGGAATGTCTACTTTGACATATACTTGACCGCAAGTCCGCAAGTGACATCGTTCCAAAGTTATAGGCCGATTAGTGGACTCGTGTCCAGACGCTCCAAGCGCGCTCAGGTGAGCGCTCGGAGTACCCGCCTGTTACTGGCGAAACGGCGTGTCTTAGTAGTTCCAACTGCTACCGCGATTATCTCTAAACGATGTTTTCAAAATTGGCGGGCGCTGTATTTTAGAAACGGCTCATTCGATTTAAACGGCGATTGAATTTTTGAGTTAAGTACTTTTTTTTATAGTTTTGTACGTAGCCGATTTTCAAAAGAATCAAAACTGGATTTTGGTGCAAGCTTTTATCTCCAATTTTAGTGTACAAAAACGGACTGTTTTTTTTCTAAACGTCGCCAAATTTTTATTTTTCAACCAAATCAAAAACGGCTACGTACAAGACTGGGTCACCTATCAGAGAATAACCACAAAAAAATTCGTTGTTCCAGCTCCAGTGGTGTGGTCGCCAGACGTCCCGCCCCACGACGACTCAGACGGGAGGTTTCCTGGGGAACCTGGTGCAGCGGCTACAGAAGACATCCAATCGAGCCAAAAAAAAAAAAAAAATCTCAATTAAAGAGGACATTTCAATTGACAAACCATGCATTCCTTTTTTTGAATTGATCGTTATTTACCCTAAAAAAAAAAAAATCGTGAAAATGACCTATTAAGGATTTGAAAGTTGGTTGCAGTGACTTGCTTACTGAGCAGAAAAACGCGGTCCCTTCTTCCTCTTCTTCGCATTTCAAGCTTATTGCATATCGCATATTAGCTTATTGCGTGCTCTCAACTTAGTGTTCTAGATGCACTTGCACAGTTATTAATTGAGAGCTTTCGATGCCTGTACCATTTTTGCATTGGTATAATTGTGTGGCAAGTCCAATCATACTTCTATGCCCAGGGAAGTCGAGACATTTTCCAACCCGAAAAATTCCTAGACCGAACCGGGAATCGAACCCAACCACCTCCAGCATGGTATTGCTTTGTAGCTGCGCCTTTACCGACTGAGCTAAGGGAGGCCCCGTTTGCGGTCCCAGGTCCTTTCATATTAAAAGTGTATGGTAAGATCGCTTGTTTATCGTGTATTTTGCAAAATTTGTCGTCGGTGCCGAGTTTGAAAAGTTATAACAACTTGAGTAGCGATATAATATGATATGAGGGGTTCGGTGGCCTTAGAGCAACCGTTTTTGCTTACTGAGCAGAACATCATTAGTCTAATCTCAAGCCCATCCACATTCAAGATTCGTCAATCGTTTTATTTGTTAACATGACTACATGGTAATAACAGTAACTCGATTATTAAAAGGAGCTCGTCTGCCTAGTGGAAAACGCTGCTTGCTTGCTGAGCAGAAGACCGTGGGTTCAATACCAAGCTCCTTCGCGTTATATGATTGTTAGGACATCAATTCAGCTGATCGTTTACCAAAACGAACCCTGCTGCAAACCCAACCCTATTACCCAAATATCCCAGTGATTCCTCGTGGAAGTGCAGAGGTGTTCTCGGCTTCCATCAAAGCGAGTGTCACGTCAACACATTCCTACCCCTTCCTTTCTTGACCTGTGTTCGGGCGCGGCCGGCACTGGTATTGCCTAGTTTGAGATCACCAGTTTTTACGCATTGAGGATGATTGCTAGTCCCAAGCATCGTCTATTGGTTCACTGTGTAGTTACAGCTGGTCTGGCAATAACAGAGTAGCAACCGTGGACGGTCAATCATGCTTATGCTCATGCTCATGCTTTAGGGTAGCCCTACTTTTGACGGATATGAGTGGATCTTACTCCTATTTGGGTTCTTTAGAAAGAGCGTGCTGTAAATCCTGCCCTCAAAACAAACTTCACAGCAAATGAAACTGACTCATATTTGAGTAGGGGAAACAGCCCTATTGTTGCGGTACGTTAGCAGCGTTAGAAGCCTATTGTTGTGTATGGAGGTCTCCAAGATTTGTAAAACTACCCCAGCGGTTATGATCTTCCGGATTTTTAATGTGGTGTTATTAAAACCGTTAAAATATGAGTAAAAAAATTAAAACAAGACCCCTCCCGATGGAAATATGCAAGATACGCATAACAATATGCGTTTATTTGAGATGTAAAATTGTAATTTTGATGTAAACAAACGGTTTGGTTGAAGTATCCTCTCATAATCGCCTAGCGCACTCTACATTGGTGGTGCATAGAAACAGCCTATGTTCTAGAGAATGGCAGTTATTTTTCTTCTTAAATTGATGTGACACGCACAGTAACTACTTGTAATCTTAATTTTCAAAAGAACTCCCAGCAAACAAGGAATGCTGAAAACGAGCCTATTCAAGCGAATTAATATTTGTTGGGCTACTCATGATTTAAAGAAGGAAAAATATTTGAGAGTTAGTCATCCGAAGGCTTGCTTAAACTCCTCAAACTTACTGGAGGTTTTAAAACACTCTTGTCCTGCGAGTTTAGCCAGCCCTCACCTCGAGTGAGTGATGACAGGAATATGAAAGAAGTAAACAAAAACTCCTCGAGAGAGAGAGAGTGAACTTCAGCGAAAGGATGATTTTACGTGAGGTGAGCTTTTCGAGACTCCGAATGACTTTTTTGTTCGACGCAAGAAGCTCAGAGTTCACCCAGAGTGAGAGTAAGAGCGTTTGATAGAAAACATGAACATGAATGGCAGCAAACCTCACTCTCATTTTATCTCCCTTCACTCACAAGCTCTGAAGCTCAGTGGAATGATTTGGCAGTAGGCATTCTACTCATCAGAAAAATGTTTCAAACTCGCGAGCAATGCTCCATCAAGCCTGGTCATCCGTTATATCCTCCAACAATTTGACCAGTTTATCCATTTTGACCTTTTGTCCATTCGACCATTTTTTTCTTTTCGACATTTTGTCGATTTCGCCATTTATTAAAATGTTCGACCTTTTGTCCTTCGCCTTTTTGTCTTTCGTTCCTTCGACCTTTGGTCCCCTCGACCTTTAATCTTATCGATTTTTTGCTACAACCGTGTACAGGCTGAGTTCTGTACACGGTAACCGCAAAATACCCAATAATGACTACAAAGTAAGCATTTTCGAGGGAAACTGGGACTACCCATTAAATGAGTAAAATTTCACCCATTTATGAGTAATTACAACTACAAAAATAAGTAGTAAGTATTCATTTTTGAGTAACAAATACTCATAAATGGGTAATATTTTTACTCATTTAATGGGTAGTCCCAGTCTCTCTCGAAAATACTTACTTTGTAGTCATTATTGGGTATTTTGCGGTTACCGTGTAGGAACCATGTTATGATAAAAATTAAAATATGTAAATTTTATTGACTTATTTGTGAGTAACGGTCCCTTCAATTCCAAAATCCATTAAAAAATACTGACACCAGTGAAATAATATAAGTGTGGGAGAACCCATGTAAATTTTATTGAACTGACAATGAATCGAAACGATTCACTGTACACTTAATTTGTTGACAAAATCAAGCAGGATTTGATTCGATCCTGGATCTAAAATAGAGTAACCCTATTATTTTCAAGCTACGAATATTTTTACCTGTGACATACGGTGATTAATCTCAAACGCAGAAGTACATACCTGAACAGATGTGAATAATCTTGACACTGATTCATTGCATATTGATATCGATTTTGTAACATATTATCCATGATAAGATCTTCGCAAATCTGAACTGGTCCATCGTCACCAACTTGTGTTTGCATAGTATGTTTGCCGTTAGAAATTTATTATTTTACCTACTCGCAACCTGAATTCATACTGTTTTGACTTGACAAATCGTAGACGGTTAGTGGACTGAAAAGCTAGGTAAATAAATATAGCTTGGTTTACTACTTCATACTGTTCATACCTGCTACCCGTAGGAAGCATGGCAAGCGTTAATGACTGACTCTGTAGCCATCGACGTCAAATTATTAATTACAGGTGCTGCCTAGTTAAGGAAGAGCTCCATGATATGGATGTTTTTGCTAAATTTACCACCCATACAGTGAAACTGAAGGCAGCATATTAACTAGACAGAGCAATTCTTGGCTAACTCAAACAATTGCGAAAATCAGTCTTATTCTAGCCATCTGTTGGATTTCGAGTCACAAGGAACGATTTTAATCCCCCTTGATTGGGTAATTTAGTTTGAGGAATTGAATGAGTGTTTTTTAGATACTTATACTAGTGCTCAGTTCAACGCTTTGCTTGAAAATAAAAAAAAAAACACCAAACTACGCAATCATTTGATTGAACACCAATGCATACATACATACCTGAACAGATGGGAATAATCTTTGTTTTGATTCTGTGCATGCTCATGCCGTTTTAGCAATATGTTTTCCATAATTTGGACATCTGAAACTCCATCGTGCATTGTGTGTTTTTGTATTGTTTTATAAAAAACTTCCAACCATACGAAGATGCTAAACAAATGTAACCACTAAATTTTCAATGGATCGACTTAACCGAGCACAGACAAATAATAGACTGAACAGGGTGAAGATACAAGCTGCTCTGGTAATCACCTCAATTAAGGGTGCATATTGGCGACAGATAACTGTTATCAACATACGGTTTGGTTGAAACATACCGGATGCGTGATGGTCATAGTATTTGGCAACTTTTAGGTTGACAGTTGCTGACGTTGGAAGTCGGTAATGTTTCTATCTGATTGTTAAGATAATCTAATAGCCATCTTCACCCCATACAAATAGGCATATCTCATCATTTATGATTAAGTGGTTCATTTGGTCATTGTTCTGTGCCATACCCATCAGGTTTAGAAACTCATTTCATCAATTAGACAGCTTTCTGCGCTTCTCCGTTACCTGGTCCAATCTTAGTTAGGCAACTTCCAGTCAAATCCGTACGCAAACCGGGCCATATACATAATGCATCGACTGGAAAGCCAAAGTCCTTAGCCATAACGACGTCGACGACGACAACGACGACGAAGCGATGATGATGAGGCCGGCCGGCTATAGAGAGCCATTTTGAAACTGCACAGCTTTGGTCGTGACATATCTTTGAAGGGTTGGTGCATTCTTCCAAGCAGCCACCCGCTGCCACCCGGGTGCCACAGAAATCTCGTCATACCTACCGGATAAATACGAAGCAGCATGTGCACAGCCGGCTAAACAAGCATCAGCTATCATCACGCGCGCAAACCGAATCCATTTCTCTCTTCTGCTGTGAGTCTTTCCCACAAGGACCGTAGCCGTAGCAGTCGTTGGGCGCCTGTTCGTGTCTTCAATTAGATCCGGTAAGTTTCTGACAAGGCCTTTTACAATCATGTCCTCTTGTTACGGGCCAGCACCACCAGCAGCAGTAGCAACTGGAGTGGAGATTCAAAGTGAAGTCCCTTCTTCTCAAATCGACGGGAATTCCCCATCTCTATTCCTTGGTTGTCCGGCGAACGAGAAAGTGCCAGTAGCTCCTTCGTCAGATGCTGCCGCTTGCTTCTTCAATTAACATCTAATTTAGTAGAAAGTTTACAACATCGCATCACATCGGCAGCAGTACCGGCAGCAGTAGCATATCTGTACGAATGCAAAGAGCTGTTAGGAGGAATCATGCATCCGTTCTAAATACATCTCCAGCAGTGATCCTTATTTAATTTCCACCAGACGCGAGTGCGCGCACACGGCAGCGATGGCAATGTTTGGCGATGACAGGTTTCAGCAGAGTTCTGTTCGGGGGACATGGTTGTAGTTTTGCTGTTCGAAGGAATGGTTACACAGTGTGGATGGGTTGATGCCCGTGGTACAACCTAGGGAAGACATCTATCCTCCCAGAAGAGGTGGGGATTGCTTTTCTCGTATTTGCCGTTTGCTGTGGCGTTGATTTCTCTATTCTTCGATCTATCCGATGTATGATGTCTAGCAAGAAACGGTGGATCGCATAGGTGGAGGCTAGGGGTGGTAGCAGGGGCGATGTGTAAGTTTCTAAAATTAATAAGTGGGTGAACCCTAATCGAGCGATGCTCTTTGGAAACCCTTGTTTACTATGTACAAAATTGTTGCTATTTCCGTAGTTATTTTTGAAAGAAATATGTTCTTTCAAGCATTTGAATATTATAATATTCCCCATTTTTGTGTGGATGGTAAGAATTGTGGAATGTTCAATGAATTACCATTACCATTGAAATTATGACTTAAGAAATACGGTTAAGGTTCCGTCATACTAAGCACAACCCGTGCTTTATCCCTCTTTTTCATACGGGTTTGAAGAAAAAATCAAATTTTTCTATCATAAATTACTTACCATGGATTTGCTAAGGGACAGAAAAGCATGATTTCCAATCCACATCGTGCTCTCATGCCGTGCAGATCTATTTGCTGAGATTTTCGCTGAAGGAAGTGCTATCGACCGGTGGAAACTAACGATTTTAAATTGGCTCACTACTTGACTAGGCTTTTGGTCCCAAGCAAACCGATTAACGTACCCCATTATAGTCAAAATTCTAGTACTACACAATGTTTGTTTTGATTCGCTATGAAAGTTTGACAGATAAAATGAGGGGTTCGTGGATTTTCCTATGTTTCGAGGGGTGCATCGATTAGCTTGGGACCGAAGATAGTACCAGAGCTGAGCCAAAAAGTTGAGCACGTTTCTTCGAGACCTACTAGTCTTAGAGTTACCTCTATGGTGCTATTGCTACCTAAAGCTACAACACATTTAAACAGCACTTGTTCTGCATATGTTCTACCTTTTTCGAATCTTATTCCTATTCGATCCTCGTTTGGACCCTACCCGAAGTAATCCTGCTTGGATATCGATTTGGAAAAATCCTCTTTGATCCTTCGGAGTCTTATAGTAACCTGCTTGGAAGTCGATTTGGAGCAACTTACTCCTACCGCCATGGCGCCTAAACGTAAATGAAAATGGCAATCTCTTGATCCCCCTTTTGATGAAATTCAATTGAGCAATCAATTTGATATGCTCACGGATGATGATAATGATCCATTATCCAGGCAAAATTCTATTAAACATTCCCGGCTTAATGCCAAGATGGAAAAGGTCCCCCTATTGTGATAACCAACTTATCGCCATATATTTCGTGTTGTAAAACGTGTTTGAATACAATTTCGGCGATGTGATGGCGGCATGCCAATGGTTGCAACACGGCGAATGAGAACGACCCAAATTTGAGTTTAGTTCACTCATAATCGCCAAAAGTGCAGGAACTCAGCGATGAGTAAAATTTGTCTCATGTTTTCCCAGGATTTTTCAGTGAAAAATTCCCGAATTTGAGAAAAGTAAAGATTGGATTCACACAGTCTATTTGGTACTACTCCGAGACTGAATAAAATTTTCGTCAATTTCCTCATTTTCCGGTAGATTTTTTAAGTTTTGCATAGGAAACCATGAGACAAATTTACTCATCGCTGAGTTCCTGCACTTTTGGCGATTATGAATGAACTGAACTTAATTTTTAGTCGTTCTCATTCGCCGTGAAGTCTCTTTTCAGTAGAACTGGAAAACGGGTTATAATACAATTTTTTACGCCAGATTTAACACTAGTTGTATCAAAGCTCATTCCAACTATTCTTTCCTGCAGACCCCACTCCTGATTGTCTCCATTATCGCTGCTGATTCAGCATCCGCCGTTCCACTTGATAGGGAGGGTACCGAAAGAAGTTCAGACACCCCTGCTCCAGTAACAAGATTGCGAAGCCGAGCAACGCGCTTTCCGTTGATGTCAGGCAGAATCTTTCCATCCCAGTGTACTACCAAAGGTACATCAGGATCAAAGCTTTGATTCAGCAGGAAAATTTTCAATCAGAGAGTGACATATTTTCATAAACATTGTTTCGATTTTGAACAAAAAAAAGTGCTTCAAAATTATTGAAAGTGACGGCGGTTCTTTTCTACTTAACAGCGCAGCAGCGAGTTCAAGCTCTTGGGGTTGTGAATGATGTCGCGGAAAGGGCCGTAAAGCTTGTTTCCGACCTCAACAACTCGGTAACCAAGAATCCCAAACAACATGAATACCTACTGCAAGTTAAGCAGCAGCACATCGCCTGATAATGTTTGAATAAATTGTGCGCCAAAGCAAATACACCCTTGTGAAAAATCACGCTTGTTTCCAAATGACCCCCGTGAAACATAATTGTTGTACTTTACCGGAAACCTGTGTAAAGTTTCAACAAAATCGAAGATTCTTTGCGCATGATATCGGCTTTCCTCCATGCTGAGTGAACCCCCACACAACGTGACTGCCTCGCGCAGACAGCAGCAGGCGGCAGCTGGCAGTGCTGCTAGAAAAAAAGAATAATGAGCAGTTCGTTTGGTTAGCAATCAGTAATGGCTAAATAACTTTTTCCACAAGCGTCGGATCGTTTTGCGGTCTTGTCCTTGTAAAATTTCCTAGCGAAATGTTGGGTTGGTTTATTTTTAGAGGATAATGGGTGACCTCACCAGATTTTTATTTGAAAAAAGTAAGTTTTCCCATAGAAAATCCTATGTAAAATTAAAACCGCTGGCGCTAAAATATAGTTCCACCGACCGACCTGAAATTTTACACAGTTATTTTAGGACCCAGAAGGCCCCGGAAATCATACTGGAACTGGAATTTGAATTTTGTCCCACCCTAATAACCACTTCTGATCTCCATGCTCTTCGCATGGAACTTTTGAACTTCGTTAAATTCAAATTTTCACTTCAAATTGGCCGTCGGGGTAAATACATGGATGAACAATGTATAGAATGCCTTTAGAAACGCTTTTGATTGAGTGAAACATGATATCAACCGCATGAGATCTATTTTTTCGGCGTGTGCGGAAGATCAACTTTTATTCGCGATTGGCACGTTTTTGAAAAAAAATCGTAATTGAACTTTATAGGTTTACACAAACTAGCATTCAGACAAAATTCAGGCAAATCCGAAATTACACATTGTGCTATTGGCAGTAGTACCGGATAGGTTAATCCTATGGTTTGTTTTCCCTTCTAGCATGATTCCTTAATTTCCGTGACATTTATAAAATTCAATTTAATTCGTTCAGGCTGGGTTTATTGATTTATTTTTTTAGCCCTTCGAGGATGGAAAATCTTTGGATTTATATTATAATTATTAATTTTTTCAACCTTCGTTCAGGCTAGATCTATGGAATTATTTTAGTTTATGTTCAGCTCTTCACATCATTAGTATCACTTATTTTTCAGCCTTTGTTCAGTTTATTGCTCAAAATTTATTTTCAGCCCTTCGATGATGGAAAATCATTAGATCATTTCTACATCCATATTCTCGTTTTCGTTTGAGCCGTATTTTCCATACCGAACAAAGTTTGTAGCACGCAAAATACGGCTAACGATTTTCCGCCTCCTGTAACATTCCCTGGCTCCATAAACGGAA